CAAACAGATGGAGCAGCAATGGGTTCATCATTATCACCGGCGGTGGCCAATATGTTCATGATTTACTTTGAAGAAAAAGCCATCAAAACATACGATAAAAAACCGAAACTGTGGCTAAGATACGTAGATGACGTATTTGTGATCTGGACCCATGGAAGAGTAGAACTTGAACAATTTCTTAATCATCTAAATAATCAACACCCAAAAATCCAATTCACCCTGGAGATTGAAGATAACAACCAACTTCCATTTTTAGATGTTCTCGCAATAAAAACACCGAGTGGTAAATTTGAACACACAGTATATAGAAAACCAACTCACACCGATAGATATCTACAAGCCAACTCGCACCACCATCCTTCCCAAATACAAGGAGTAGCTGACACTCTGATATCAAGATCAAATAGCCTGACCTGTACTACACATAGAAATGCAGAGCTCAAGAACATAAAAACAATACTGAAACAAAATGGATACAGCTCAAACACCATCTACAAAGCAATAAAGAAACAACGGAAGACCACACAAAACACACAAGAAGACAACAAAAATCAACCAAGAGCTATTCTACCATACGTGAAAGGAACCACCGACAAGATAGGGCGCATTCTCCGAAAAAAGAACATATCGACAATCTACAAACCGAAGCAAACAGTTCGATCGATCTTAAGAAACCCCAAAGATGCAACCAAACTGGAAAATCAGGGTGTTTACAAAATTGCATGTGGAACCTGTCACCAAACCTACATCGGACAAACCAACAGGAGAATTTCCGCAAGATTAGAGGAACACAAACTAGCAATTCGCAACAGACAGCTAACATCTGCTCTATTTCAACACGAGCATAACACAGGCCATAAAATAAACTTCGAAAGTTGCAAACAAATAGCCAACATTGAACACTTCAAAACAAGAACCATCAGAGAATCTATAGAAATTGAAAAAGAAGGTCTTCTTAACAAACGTGACGACTCCTTAAATCTGCCCCAAGCTTGGAAGTCCATAATCTCGAGACGCCAACATCAAACTGACTGCCTGAGCTTCGCTCCCCAGGGGGCGGGGCCTAGCGGCGTAACGAATACGGCCAATCAGCGACGATCCGCTCGAACAGCGCACGATATAAAAGAAGTGAGGACTGAGCGCAGCTCATTCAGCAACACCGTAGTGAAAACTGGGAAAACCATATAAGAGATATGGAAGAGCAAGGTCCAAATATGCAAATATTTGGAAATTGCAAAAAATCCTACGTAGCGATAGAAAGCCAATTCCCCCACTACACGGAGAAAATGGCATAGTCTATAGCACAGAGGAAAAAGCAGAGGTAATGAGGAGTACTCTCGAGAGAGAGTGTACATTAAATTACCACCCAGACGAAGACATCGACTTCATAGAAGAAGTCGAAACACAAAGACAAAGACCGGAAAACCCCAACGAAATTATCCTCCAACAACACGGAGGAGATAAACGAGCTAATTAAGAACAGCTCACCAAAAAAGGCACCCGGTCCAGACCAGATCACAAACAGAGCTCTGAAGTATCTACCAGCGAAAGCTATAGTATACTTAACCAACATAGTAAACGCAATGCTAAGGTTCAGAAAATTCCCGAATAGATGGAAAGAGGCCCATGTCATAATGCTACCAAAGCCCGGAAAAGACAGCACATTCCCGCAAAATTACAGGCCGATTAGCTTACTACCAGCAATCAGCAAAATAGTGGAAAGAGTAATACTCAGCAGACTTAAAGCTGAAACTGACAGGTTAGATATAATACCAGAAGCCCAATTTGGCTTCAGGTCAGAACACTCCAGCGAACTACAAGTACTCCGACTAACAGAGTACATAGCAGCTGGATTCAATGACAAACAGTACACAGGAGCTGCATTCCTGGATGTAAGCAAAGCATTCGATAGAGTCTGGCATAAAGGACTTTTATACAAAATGAGACAATACGGGTACAGCGGAGCAATGACAAGATTGATCTCTTCGTACTTGAGCAACCGAAGTTTCAGAGTGCGGATAGGACAAGTCCTATCCGAACTCGGAAACCCGGAAGCTGGAGTACCACAGGGAGCGGTATTGTCACCTCTGCTGTACTCGATATACACAGCAGACATACCTAGAACACCAGGTACATTACTAAGTCTATATGCCGACGATACAGCAATAGCGGCCAAACATAGACACGTAGATATCGCAGTCACCAATCTACAGACCGCGTTAGACGACATTGAAGAATGGAGTCTAAAGTGGAAAATCAAAATAAATTCAGATAAAACACAAGCTGTACTTTTCCAAAAGAGGCGAGAAAGACCAGAAGAACAGGTAACTGTGCAAGACAACCCATCGAGTGGAAAAGCGAAGCGAAATACCTCGGAGTGATAATGGATAAAGGATTAACATTCAACAAACACGTAGAAGCTACGGTACAAAAAGCTAACATAGCTAGAGCCGCAATAAGAGGTCTAGCAGGTAGAAAAAGCAAACTACGACTTAAAACCAAAATAACGCTAATAAATAGTATAATACTACCTATACTAACATACGCATCATTAGCATGGGGACACACATGCAATACAACCAAAAAGAAAATACAGGCTCAACACAACCAAAGCCTAAGGGAAGCAGTTAACGTACCAAGATACGTCGCTGAAAGGTTCATATTCAGAGAACTTCAGCAAATCAGAGTAACTGATACCATGAAAGAAAAAGCCAGGAAAAAGTTCGCAGAACTAGAAGACCACCCCAGTCACATACTGAGAGAGATGATGAGGTATGACGCTTTCCACAGATGGAAGCACAAAAGACCTAAACAACAGATATTAGATTAACGCAAAACCAGAGAGAGAAATAAAAAACCACCAGAGGGATAAAACCTATAAACACCAGAGTGGGAAGAAAAAACAATCAAAACACACACACTAGGAAGATAGTTCGTAGCTCAAATCGCCATAATATGCCATCGCCCAACTAGTGGGCCCTGTTGCACGCACTAGGATACAGCCTATATTGTGGTAATGTATAATATTTATTTATTTTCTTTGCTATGATATAGACTTTATACTAATTATGATTTTCTTTTCACAGGCTACCTACCAAAAAAATCACAAAAAACACAAAAAACCGGCCTCGGCCACCAAAAAAATCAAAAAAATACTAACAAAAACCGGCTTCGGCACCAAAAAAATTAACAAAAACCACAAAAACCCGGGCACGTAGGGCCCATCACTCTCGAGCATCAAGTCGTCGAGCTGAGCCGGGACTCAGAGCGGGGACTTGATGCCCAGCAAGCAAATTTAGTTTCGCGGATATGCCACAGTAAGATAAACAGGAATAAAGCGGAGATGCGCTGTCCTGAGTTTTCACAATCGTATTAGGAAACCATGTTGGGGTTCTATTACCCAGGACCTCCACATGAAGAGCACTTGGCTGATTGTTGTGCCTCTATAGCGAATCAGATTGCTATAGGGGGGAAAGGGATGGTCTTGAGCATTGGAGCACGGTGGGGTGACTCCTGTTTTTACACGAGTTAGCACACCTTGCTCCAATGAATTGTTACACCCAATCGTACTACCCGGGTGAACATTTCTCTAAGGCTGGGTTTAATCAATTTGCTGCTGCTGCTGCAGCTCATTCAGTTACCGACTACGAGACCGAAGACAACGCACAGAAGATGCCAAGTGAGACCTTGGCGAAACGTCTGCAATTAAAAAATGACCAACGGATATTTTCCCGGAATAATTGTTCAACATATTACTCCATCCGTGAAACACTTCAAACTAACATATATATATATATATATATATATATATATATATATATATATTATATAATATATATATATATATATTTATTCAGTTCCCAGTTCTGTTAGTATTTTAATAACGATATCAAAGTGACTTAATGAAATCATATATTTCTGTCTGAACTATTCTTAAGTGTGAAAATGAAATATTCAATAATACTATTTTATCTTGCATTATTAATAAGTGCGAACGTCTTTTATATGAGCATTAAAAGGAACTCCCTGCTTTTCGCTATTCCTCGCTAGAGGTAAATTTTACTTTGTAGTTTTCTCGCTTAAAATTATACAGAGCTATATAAGATTTTATTTTTCTAGCTTAAATTATGTTCTTAAAATATCTACTGATACAATGTTAAAGTAGATCCTGATGGTATAAATATTGCTTACAGTTTAAAGTATTTTAATATTTAAATAAAGTTGAAGATGACCAATTTTTTACTCCATTTTGTAGTTCTACGTGCTTGTAGAGCAGAAATATTCAGTTCAACAAGATCTACTATGTTCTGTCGTTCGTGATACTTTCCGATGAATTTCGAATGGCTATAAAAGATTTTATATCCTATGTTTTAAGCAACTTGGTTGTAAAGATTTAGGTCAAAGTCAGAGAAGGGAGGTTTTCTGATATTTGTATCAGTGTTTTTGTTGTAATTTTAAAAACACATTTTTCAAATTTTATTTCAAAAACATCTTCTGACTTAAACGCCAGAATACCAATTAAAGATAATAATTTTGCAATTTAAGTTTGAATTCCATATCCATTTTTATATGTTCCAGTTTTCTAACGTTGTTAAGCCTTTTGGTAGGGATCAATGAATTCACCAAGCTGCGAGATTTTATCTCTCACCGTACTATATTACACAAAGAGTTTACTTCCGGTGACGTTGGGTGAAAACCTAGAACTGACGAAGTCTAATTGCTTGTTTTTGTATATAGGTATTATACCTAACGAAAGGCATTTTATTTTAATCCATCGCTTAGAAAGCTTCAGCCTTAGGCTTATGCTCCTACCTCAATTATGTTTTTTTTAACTGATTTAGATTATTCTTCAATGCTTCAGATTTTCAGTTGGCGGAATAAAATAAGAGTGATAAAATATATTATTAAATATAGCAATATAAAAATAATTTCATAAAAGTAAGTTCATAAAATTACATTTGTTAGTCAAAAATATAAATTTTATTCTAATAAATAATTACCTGTAATCTCCCTCTCTTGACGATGTACATTTCTTTACCGACGTCACCTTTCCTGCAGATGTAATCTCCGGGTGAAAAAACCTGAAACGAAAGTTTGGAATTAGATCAAATATCAATCCAGAAAGTTAATTATTTTGAAATAAACAAGTTTATTTCATGTTTTTTTATATAAATTTTAATAATCTTAGTAGTCGATGTGATTAATTAAAATAAAGCAAAATAAAAGAATCAGAGTAAAAATAGTACCTTCTGAATGACCGAGACTAATAGAAACTGGAAATCAGAAAACGTATTATCACGGAATACACCACCCAACAAGAAGCGAAAGCTTTGTCAACACCTTTGATATTTAGTATGTATGGAGTAACAATGACAGTTAAACTACTTAGTACACTAAGAAAAGTAATGGGGAAGTCGTTTAAAACTGTAGTAAAATTATAGTTACACTGAGAAACGAAGTAATTATTAAAACTAATGTTTTTAAGTAAATCTGTTTTGTATGAATTCTATTTTTTCCTGTAAAATTTAATATAACCCATATATCAATTCTGTACTGATAAATAAAAAGGTCTTAAGTCAAAAATATCGATTTTTTTTTTAACAAACAAATTAGCGTACGAAAAGTATTTTAGTACTTGATGGATTCGACCGTTACTTGATGGAAATTCATTTTATGTAACAATAAAACACTGAAAACTTTGTTTTCAAACTTCCACAAAATTTATTTTAAATATTATCACTACAGCTGTTTCGGCTGATTGCCTTTCTCAAGTGATCTATTTTGGCTTGGGTTTACAAATTTATAGTCTCTATTGAAATAGGTTGAGGAGGGAGAAACTGTTGTCTCAAGTTGGTCATTCAGAATTATATCTGTGTTTTTTAATTTGTTGATTTCCATAGATTCTAACAAAGATAGCTTAAGGCCTTTATTTTGAATGTGAAGAATTTTAAATTTGTCATTAAAAGAATGATTATGATCTAGAAGGTGAAGTGCGTATGTCGAATCTGTTTTTCTATTCTTGAAAGCCCTTTTATGTTCTGCTATTCGTTTATCAAAGTTTCTACCAGTTTGACCGATGTAAGTTTTTGGGCAGTCGCCACATTGAAGTTTGTACACACCACTATTTAAGTGTTTTTTATTTTGGCTCTTGTTATTTTTAATATATTTGCCTAGGTTGTTATTTGTTCGGAAAGCTGGTGTTATTCCTTTCTTTTTTATGTGTTTGGCAATTTTTGTTGTTATTTTGCCTGTATATGTAATCGAGCAGAAGGTACTGGGTTTTTTCTCTGGTGGTGGAAATACTAATTTCAGGGCTTTCTTGTGTAGTTTTTGATTTAACATTTTATTAATTGTTTGTTCGTTGTATCCGTTGTTTACTGCTATTTGCTTAATTATATTTAATTCTGTCTCAAAGTTGTATTTTGACATCGGAATTTCTGTTAATCTATGTAACATACTATGATAAGCTGCCAGTTTATGTTGTGTTGGATGGGATGACGAATTGTGTATAGTCGTGTCAGTATGGGTAGGTTTATGAAATATGGAGAAGTCATGTTTGTTTTGAAGTCTGCTAATTTTTAAATCTAAAAAATTTATGGATTGATTTTGTTCTGTTTCTATTGTAAATTCAATATGACTATAAAGTGAATTAATATACGATAAAAATTGGTCGAGTTGTCTGTTAGTTCCTGTGAAACATACCAGTACGTCGTCTATGTATCTCCACCAATATAAAAACTGTTTGAATACGGGATTGTTTTTCCTACACTCTTATTTGGACTTATAATGGGTAATCCTCTAAGCCCATTGCTATCAGATATTTTTATGGAATTTATGGATGGAATTAGTGTTTTCGTAGAACAGTGTATTTAAAAAAGTGAATAGTTTCTAAGAACATTTATATAGGAAAACAATTTGGGATTATTTAGAAAGTAAGAAAGTATTGTTTTAAAATTTAAACATGCTTGATTTCTTGAAATTTAAAATTAGGAAAATTTGAAGTTTGGGAGTGGGGTGAATTTGTATGAATGAATGTTGATTGACTAGAAAGTACTAGGGAAGGAGAGAGGACAGTCGACTTGAAAATTGAACCAGGACATTTGAATCATTGTGTTTTTAAGATCGAAAACGAGAAGTCCACTTTAAAAACAGTGTATGAAAAAGAAGTAGAAGTTTTTGTGTGTGAGGTTAAGTTGGTTAGCAGAATAGTTGTAGAGTAACCGAGGTCCAGGTCGAGAATCTCAAACTCCTTGTGTCCGAAGGGACTCCTAAATCTGTAAGAAAAGGAAAAAGGTTATATAAAGTTTGTACAAGATAACCATTAGAGACGGGAGACGCAATTTGTGGAAAGAGCCCCATTATTATTATTGTGAAACGAGTTCGAAGGTGTTTTTTTTAATTTGGAGAGGAAACTGAACGAGTGCTGTTTTTTGTGTAACAGTTTTTGGAAGGAGGAAGCAGAGCCACAAGTCTTTTGGAAAATTGGACAGTATTTCGGGAACACAATTCGGAGACTAAGTCAGTATCCGTTGTGAGACATCGCAGAAAGAAGATAAAAAAGGCCAGTCAATTTGTTTGTGAAATAAGCGTTGTATGTACACCATATATTTTATTTAAACTCATATCATAAAGCAATTGATAAAAAAGAATTGAATTCATAAGTCATAGAATTTGCATATAATAATAGAGTGAGAAGGAGAGGCAGACCCAGAGCACGATTTAAGGATCAAGTGGAGAAAAGACCTGAGAATGTTGGGAGTACGAAACTGGAAAGCCAAAGCGAAGAATAGGAGAGGAGAAGAAATTGGTTATAAAAGGGAAATAACAGAATCAAGTTTTCGTTTGTTCTGAGGAATAGATAATTCAGTGTATACAATTTTTATGTTGATAGTTATATATGGTATTGAAATAAATGGTTATCGTTTTAAAAGTTTATAAATTGTGTTATAATATTTATTCCCTTTGTCTATCCTAAAGAAAGCCAGCATCCAGGAAATACTAGAAGCCACGAATTGAAAGTAAAATAAATTTTATTGTGTAGTAAAGAACACTGAGAAATTAAATATTTGATCTAGTTTAATTCAATGAGAATTCACAACAATTAAAACAAAGCAGATCATAATAGTATATATAAAAATATGTATTATTCTTTTTTAACACTTGTTCAAACAGTATTATTAATTTTTTAATATTAAACAACATACACAAAACAACATTTCTCAATACGTAAACAAACTTCAGTTTTTATAGGTTGACAAATAAACTATTTAGAACATGGCAGATTCTCACAGAAATTTGTATTGCGAAAGAGCCCTTCGTTTCACTTCTTGTTGGGTGGTGTATTCTGTGGTATTACGTATTACTTATTCAATTAACGGATTACGTTATATTTTAGTTCCCTTTTTAAATAATCCCAGTATGTGGTGGCGTTTTTATTTTATGTTTTATTTCTTCTCTGTGCGAGATTATTTTTCATATAAAAATAAAATATTATGACATATAGGATAATAATATAAGCAGTGGCAGTAAAATTCTATTTCAGCTAGTTATTTAGTTTAACATAAAAATGTCCAGTTTTACAATTTTAATATAAATACAAACGTCAGGACCGGCTATTATACTTAATTTATATATAAAATTTATTTTTAACCGTAGAATATTAACCAGTCATAACATTCACGAATCCGATAATTAAACATAACATTTGGGAAGTATGCGATTAGTTGCTTCCGGACGCATCTATACATTCCTTATATGCATTTGCACCTAGGACTTTTCTATTGGTCATTTGCGACACGCGGCCATGTTTCAACCAATAGGCGGCGAGGTACCAAATACGTATACGGAATGTTACTTTGGTACGAAATTCATATACGGAATGTTAAATATTCGTAGACCCAACAAGACGACTTCTCATTAAAATCAGAAAAGCAGAGTAATTTTAAAATAGTTGTTAATGTATTAAAAAAAAGTAAATCAGTGCAATAAAACAAAATATATTTAAATAAATAATATAAAATTTAAAATTTTTGAAATGTAATATTTATACGAAATTCAATGTCCTTCGGAAATATTGTGACGCCTTTTAAACCTTTTTTCAGGAGGTTGAACTTTAGGTGGTTGTCCATATGGTAATCTATTTGAACCTGTAGTAACTTCCCACTTTCTTCAACTGATTGAAGTTGGTTGCACTCTTATATTGGCCTTGTATTCAAATCGCTTTGCCAAGGAATTTTCTGCCATGTTTAAAAATATTTCCCAAGCCGTTTTGGTTTTAATATGGGATAATCTTTCGTGCAATAACTTTAACGTTAATAAATCAGTTCCAAGTGTAACATTTTTATCTTGTAGCGTATTAATAAAAGCTGCAAAAGAAAATTCCTATTGTTTAGCTATTTCATTTTTGTTTAAAATAATATCATCTTCTCTAACATTATTTTCATCAACAGGAAAGATATAATTAAATTATCTCAAAATTTATACAAAGTTCCTAGTGAGCAAAATAATTCTTCAGCTGCGAAATCGGAAGATTGGGTGCATTTTTCAAGCATTAAGCTGAGACTGCACACTTTTTAATAAATTATATCTCCCTGCAACGTTTCAGTTGCAAATTTTCTTCTTCTTCTTTACTCGCCCTCTACGATCGCCCTCCATCCTCTACGATCTTGTTATATTTCCCATTGTTGTACCCAAATTCTAGATAAATCGGCTTCAACATCATCCTTCCATCTTTTTATCGGTCGGTCTGCTGATCTTTTACCATCTGATCTTTCAAAAAACACTGTCTTTAACACTCTGTCATTTTCTGATCGTACCACGTGACCTGCCAATCTTATTCGGTTTGCGTTGATATGTCTAACTATGTTTTCAGTTCCATAAAGAGTCACCAATTCAGCATTGTGGCATCTTCTCCAATCCCCTGTGACTTCATCCCTTTGAGGGCGAAATATTATTCTGGGGAACCTTTCTTTCAAATACTAGAAGCTTATTGATTTCCCGCTGGTATTTAAACTCCTTTACTACTTCGAAGTTGTAATCATTAATACTGATGTTCTGTCTTCCAGTTGCTAATCCTGAATAT